TGAAAATCCATTATAATCCATTATAATTGATTATAATCCATTTCATTTTTAGAACTAAGTTGGATTATTTTTTGCAAAATTTTGCAAAGTTTGCGAGAAGTTTGCAGAATTTATGCCCTGTTTTTCACTAAATGCCGCCATGTCTCAACTTCGCCCCCTCGCCCCCTATGAAAATAAATTCCAAACCCAGTTTTTAACGGCATTTGCAAATTTTGGTTATTTCGAGACAGCTTTTTAAATTGGTGGGTGGTAGTATACTGGGTACTGGGGGCTTAAATGGCTGGAGGGGGGGGGGTTAAAATGAAGTGTTAAACTGCGATGAATTAGTAAAAGTAGAGACAAAAAACATATTGATTTTTCTGTAAAAATGTAGTATTTTATGAAACATAACACGCAGCAACTACACTAAACAGGAAATGAGATAATTTTGAACAAAATTGTAAATTTCATGAATAACCCCTCGAAAATATCCATTATAATCGATTATAATCGATTATAATGGATTTTATTGGGATAAAAAAAATTAGGATTATAATCCATTTTTAATGGATTATAATAGATTATTTTGTCATTTTATAGATGCTGACCATATTATGACAATATAATCTATTATGATCCATGGGCGCTCGGTGCGGGTTGGATACTATTCCTATTCTTTCTCTGGTCACATTTTCAACAATTTTAAAGCAGTAAAAAACGAATGTTTACTACACAAATGCACTAATAAGGCGGTTATTTCAGCTAATGCCAAGATGTTTAGAAGTTTAGTTGTTTCTTTTTTCAGCAAATGGCTGTTTTGCTTACTTCTATGATTTTACTTGACGAGAATAATTTGACAAAAACATCTAATTCAGACGTTCTGCCATCTCTGAGAAAAATAATTGTACAGGTTTTCAGCAACTTGCCTTTCTGTGTTCGCAGTTTTCCTAATGCTGATTCTCGTTCAATTTTTTTGGATTGAATGGATTTGTTACCTTGAATTGAATTTAAATAAGAAGCCCTGAATGTTTCGACTGCCCTTTAATCCATATTGAATAAATTCTTAGGAAAAAACTGAAAAAAAAAGAAATTTTGGACAATCTCTAAGATCAAGTGTGAAAACATGAGTCATACTAAAATAATCTGGTTGATTAGCTAGCCTCAATTGAATTTAGAACAATTTTGTTGTCCGGGAAAGTTCACCACGCATAACTAATTTGCGCTACGCTTTCAGTATTATTGATAAAATGTTCAAAGTGCGCATAAATTAGTCCAGAGTCGATTTTCAAAATCCTAAAATTTTACAAAAATTGATTGGAGGTCAAATATCTTTTTAAGTTTGATTTCAGGGAGTCGATATTTTCAACGAGGCGTAAAAATTGTTTGTAAAAAACTATTATTTCAATCACCGATAACTGACTGAAAAAAACAAGACTGCTTTTATCAGGGCAAAGCCCTGAAAGTTCCGAATGCCTTTCAAGGTCTATGGAGCAGTAGTTACATGAAAAAATTTAATGTAAAAAATAAAAAGAATTTTTTTAATTTGAGATTTTTTGCGAAAATCATCCCTCCGCACCTCATAAAAAGTGCAAAGTGATAGATTTTGCTCCTAGTAACAAATCAATTTTGACAAACAAAACTGCTCTCATCAGTGCAAAGCCCTGATCGTTTTGACTGCCCTTTAATTGGTCTCGATCAGTTTTTGGAAATATTGACAAATTACGAACTTTAGGCTGATAATATCAATATTTGAATGTTAAAATTTGGGTCGTGTATGGAAAGAGTACGACCATTTAGCCTGCCTCAATTCAATTTGGAACGGTTACAAACACTGATAATTTGTTACTCATAGATAGATAGTTCGCGTAGCGAAATAATCAGTTCGAGTAGCAACTCCATTCGAAATTTAATCTAATGCAAGCATACTGCTTGGCAATCCGAAGATCTCCTTATCGAAACCCATACGCTGTCAACTTTTCTAAAATCGGTCTGAATAAACAACCACCCCAGGCATATATATTACTTATTTTCTTCGAAAGTCGGAGCTAACAAGTCGAAATTGGTCTGAAGATAGAAAAACCACCCGAGCACAAATATTTCGTTACTTTCGTTACGAAAGTCTAAAAAAACTACCCCAGGCACAATTGTTCCATTTTATTCGAAAGTTTACAAACTTTATTCAAAAGTCTACGAAAAAATCGAAATAAATACATCATTTTGACTTAGGAGAAAAATGTAGACCAATATTTTTGTTACTTATCTCTAAAATATTTAATGACGAAAAAGACAACCTTGAGAGCAGACTGGTTTTTCCTTCTTTGTTATTATGTCTTCCTGTTGTGTCTTTGTTTCTTTTGTCTCGTCTAGCGCACGAAAGGTTAAACTGATAAAACATACCACAATGGCTTGGCAATTGTCAAGATCAAACAGTTAAAGACTCTTTTCCTTCATTCACCAACAATTTTTGAGCTTCTTTTTAGTCGCGTATCTTTGCGTATAACTCTCACTGTCACTATGTATGCTTTTTCGGTGGACCATTAATTTTGTGAGTTTTCGTTCCGGTCGAGCTCTGATTGAAAAAGCATTACGCAACAACGTCAAGGAAAATTCATCGAATTTTCAAAATTATCCTTATGTAAATTACCAAACAATATACTAATAGAATATCAAACCGTGATTAGCAAAAAGCAGACAAAAAAGTAACCATCGTAAGCCAATCAAAATCGATAAAAGAACATAAGAAACCATCGTAAGCCAATCAGAATCGATGAAAAAATATTTCGTACTTTTGCTGTTTATCTCGATTTTGATTGGCTTGCGACCGGTCTACTTCACGGCATGTCTACTTTTTGACCGCACTCTAGAAAACACCGATCAGAATGCATACTAAATAAGATTATATGTGATGTTGAAATATCAGATGGTTGTAAAAGTACCC